TGAATGTTGCAAAGAATGCCTTTCAATAATTCCATTAATACTTTTTTGTAGTTTTCATTACAGTTTTGTTAACCCAAATTGTTTTAACTTTCTATAACGTTGCTTTTCAGGTCTTAAGTCTAGTGTGTTTTTAGAATTTTTATATATTGCATACTTTTATCCTCACTGTGAAGAGCTTCATGAGAGAAAGGAGGCAGACATTTTAATATACTTTTTCATACTGAGATTAAACAAAAAAAAAACTGTGAGTGGCAAGATTTATATACATGACATATTTATGCTAGAATGAGGACACCTTTGCACTATCACATATAATTAAGATTGTCTCTCCCAGATTAGTTCTTGGCTTACAAAACAAAATGCTTTCCCAGGCTAAACTTCAAAGTAGGTAGTGGCTTCAAAGAGATAGATATTTAGCACAGACAAAAAAAAATTTAAGAAAACCAAAACAAAACAAAGAGAGAGGGAGCAATGGCTCAGAGGTAAGAGACATAACTAAAAATATGGGGTTAGCCTTTAGAAGTTTCACTGAGAAAACTTTGAAAGTCAGTTAAAATACTATAACTTAATACATTGGAAAGGAACATTAGATAATCAATTACTCATATTATGTTAATGCTTTGTAATTTTCCCAAAAACACAGCTAGCTTTACGTTTCTTTAATTTAGCAGTAAGCAGAATTGAATACTTACCTGAATTTTTAAATTGAGATGAAAACATAATACAGTGCACCACATTTAAAATAAACTATTAGGAGCGTGGCCCAGATAAAGTAGTTTTGTATCGTCACTGTGGAAATACCTTTTGAGATGTCCAAAGGGATTTTTCAATGCATTCATCTGAGCAACTAAAATATTTACTGTTGATGTTATCAGCACTATGCGCAAGTTGTCTCTTGAACATCCGTGATTAAAAAATGGTTTGGCTTTGCTCAGTGTTTTGCTCATCAAAGGAATAAAGCATTACTGGAGATTTTCATGAATAATCTTTTTAAATACCATGAATACAGTTAGCTATGTCCCTAAAATAATGTTTTCTAGTTCCCCTTTGACATAGTTATGTGTGTATGTAATAACAGTAAAACAAAGAGAAGACTGAGGTATATTTAGGTTGAGAGTTCATTAAAAGGAAAGGGGACAGTATACATTTCACAAAATTAACTCCTAAAGCCTGTCTTTATGGGGCCAGCCCTGTAGCATAGCAGTTAAGTGTGCACGCTTTTCTGCTGGAAGCCCGGGGTTTGGATCCCGGGCGCGCACTGATGCACTTCTTGTCAAGCCATGCTGTGGCGGCATCCCATATAAAGTGGAGGAAGATGGGCACAGATGTTAGCCCAGGGCTAGTCTTCCTCAGCAAAAAAAAGACTGTCTTTATTGTACATGCTCATTAATGATCATTTATCAAAAATAAACAAAAAGAAAGAACAAAATGCTCAGTTACGCTTTACATCCACACAACCACTGTTAACATTTTAGCGTATTTTCTTTAAATAATTATTTTCTATGCATTTATTGTTGATGTCTTAAATTTCTGTTGCGGGCTATAAATAACAATCTTTTAACTATGACAAAGAAGGACTAAGAGAAGAAAAGTAGAGGGAGAGATCATGAAGAAATGGGTCAGAAAAGGGAATTAGGAAAATTTTGCATCAGATACTTTCCAAATAGTGAACATTGGTTTCTAATGACAGTGTGAAAACTGCAATGAACAGCCAGACCCAGAAGCTGTGAAACCGCTGGACAATAAAACCTGCAGAATTTAAGTGAACACGCAGGAAACATGGGTGTACAAATACACTTTCACGTTGTCTTCCACTACCACTTTTTTTTTTTTTTGTGAGGAAGATCAGCCCTGAGCTAACATCCGTGCTAATCCTCCTCTTTTTGCTGAGGAAGACCGGCTCTGAGCTAACATCCATTGCCAATCCTCCTAATTTTTTTCTGCCCCAAAGCCCCAGTAGATAGTTGTTATGTCATAGTTGCACATCCTTCTAGTTGCCGTATGTGGGACGCCGCCTCAGCATGGCCGGAGAAGCGGTGCGTCAGTGCATCCCCCGGATCTGAACCCGGGTTGCCAGTAGCGGAGCGCGCGCACTTAAAAGCCAAGCCACGGGGCCGGCCCTCCATTACCACTTTTAAAATTTTGTGAGAGGTGATCTTCTGCTCCTATGAAAACTCTGGTAGTGTCATTTTCCCCTTATGGTCACTTTACATTGCAAATACTTTCTAAATCAGACATTAGAGTACCTGTCCCTTGTAATAGTCAAAGTTTCCAGGTCCATTCAATGTAAAAGCTATCCCCTTTCCCCAGTTAGCCTTTCCAGAGAGAGAGATGTGGTTGTCTCCTTCTCTCTTTGTCCTTCATCTCCAGGGAGGATAGAGAGGGAAGGGGAACAGAAAAACTTCCTATTTGACTAGGACTATCCTGAACTGACTTCTTGGTTTCTGGGCCTGGCCAATCTCTACAGCTGACTCTGTTTTTCTTGCATGAGATGATATATCCTCTTGCAGGTTGCATACACCTTCCTCATGCCCTAAGAATCTTGGGATACCTTTAGCTTCTCTCTGCTGAGGCCTTCATGCCTGCCGCCTAGGCCCCCACATGCCTCTATTAGTCAGGACATAGGTCAACTCCACGCCTGCTTTCTGTTGTGCATGCTCCACATCTGGTCTTGGGGACCCTCACACAGCCTTTGCCCCTATAGATTCTGGGAGTGCAGGCTGATTCCAAAGAAGCCTGTCTCCTTCAGCTCATCTCTTAGCACACAGACCATCTCTTATTTTTTTTGATTTTCTGGACATCATGTCAGACACCAGTTCCCTACACTTCGCTAACTGGAGGTGACAAACAGTGAGCCCTTTAAATGGTCTCTTTGAAGTCCCTTTCACTAGATTGAGGTGTGGATGGAGAGACCTTCTCCCTTGATGGGCATTTGTCTCACAGCCCAGCTATTCCCAAGAAACCATCTTCAAAAATTCTTTCTCTCTCTCTTCCTGAGCACACACAGAAGAAAGGCCATGTGTGGACACGGGAGAAGGTGGCCCTCTAAATGTCAGGAAGAGATTCCTTACCAGAAACCAATTTTGCTGGCACCTTAATCTTGAACTTCCAGCCTCCACAACTGTGAGAAAATAAATTTATGTTGTTTAAGCCAAAAAAAAAAAAAAGAAAAAAAAATTCTTTCTCTCAATATGAATGTGAGGTTGAAGTGTCATGAAACTGATTTTGATATTTTTCTCTAACAGTTTCCATTTTAGCTTGGCATCTCACTTTGGCATCTTTTTAGGGATTTGGCTAAAACTTCCATTTTGAATCCTCTTCCAGAAGCATAAAATGGAGGGCCTAACATAGTCTGTGAGACCAGGAAGAATTCTCATGAGGAAATGAAGAGAGGAATTTCACAGACTTCAAGAAAAGAGTATTTCAAGAATGGAAGATTCCTCTACAGTGTTAAAGGCTTTGAGGAAGGCAAGTAAGAGAAGAACTGAGAAGAACCCATTTCCTTGGTAGCAAAAATGTTGTTGGTGATGTGGGCAAGAACAGTTCCTGTGGAGAAGTGGAGGCAGAAATGAAATTCTAAGAGGTTGAAGAAAGAAGGGGAAGTAAGGAAATGGAGATCACAAGTTTAAGGAAATGGAGACCACAAATTCTGAAACTTCAGAAAGTTTAAAGTGGAGAAGAGGGAAGAGTTGGGAATTCTTTTTAGATGGGAGAGGCAGAAGACATTTAAGTGCTGCAGAAAGGAGTCGGTAAATAAAAAATAATTCAGGATACCAGAGAAAAGAAGTGACCATCCAAAGGATACATAGGTGGGCTCCAGAAAGCTGGAGTGGCTGAAATCTAGAGCTGAGGTAATGATTAGCCTTAAGCAGGAGAAATGTCTCTTACTCGCCTACCAGTAGGAAAGAATTAGTGTGAATTTAGGGAAAATTTGAAGATTTGGTGTTTGAAAGCTGAGGGATTTATGGCCCGATGGCTTCTACTTTCTCTGCTCACTAGCAAAGTCCTGGAATAGAGGACTTTTTTTTGGAATTGAGAAAAATAAAGTGAACCTGAATAACAGAAGGCCTTAAATATTCTCTTATATCTGGATTTGACATGATAGGAGAGACACGATTCAGAGGAAAATTATAAAATACATAAATATAGGGTTATTTTGATTATAATTTTAATTAGTGCTTAATCTGCATAAGAACCTGTGCCAAGCATTTTAGAAACACACATCCTATTCCCCATTTCCACTTACTTTGACTGTAGATGACGTTCGATCCATTTTGGCTCGCACAGATCATTCTCCATACAGCAGCCAAAGTGGGTCTTTTAAAAATGCAAACCATGTCATGCCCCACTTAAGCCCTGGCATGGCTTCCAAGCGCCTGGAGATAAATCCTGCGTGTTCTGGACCCTGCCTATCCCTTCAACCTCACCTCTTCCTTTGTGGTGTGTTACATTGTTTTGGAGTTATTTTAAATAGGCCAGTTTTTATTTCATTTAATTTTTCTAACAGATTTTTACAGGAATATAAACAAGCTATTGATTTTTATTTCAGACAGTTTACAAGAAGGAAATATTTCGAAACAAGATTTAGGTTAAACTTTTTTGCAGTACACATATAGAAGGAAGGCAGCACAACAAACCAACTCTCCTCCAAACCCTGAATTCCTTTGTCATATAGCTGGAAATCTTATTTTGGTTTCAGTAAGAAAAAGAAAGCTCTGTAGAGTGGTACATTCTCACTTTGTCATACGAATAGGAGAAACCAATGCATGGCAGTGAGAATTATGGGAAAATGCCAGCATCTAGTTTCTCCTCCCTTATTTATCCTCTCCCTTTGGCTCCATTCTGTTTTTATACAGCTCTCAACCTGAGTGAATATGTCTTGGGCATAATGTCAAGATATATTTTCTATTATTTGTCATAGTGGTGCTTTTTGTACCACTACATTTAGCTTTATTCCATATTTAAATGAACCCATAAATTTAGGGTAGTTTTACTAAGCCATCAACATTTTCTGTGGGGATAAAACATGGCTCATGAGGTTTTAGCATGGAAATTTTTTTCCCTTTTCTTTCTTTTTTTTTAACTAAGTTAAAAAGAATTTTTCTGGACATCATCAAATCTTAAGACTACCAAAAACAAATAAACAGGGCCGGCTCCGTGGCTTAGCGGTTGATTGCGCGTGCTGTGCTACTGGCGGCCCAGGTTCGGATCCCGGGCGCGCACCGATGCACCGCTTGTCAGGCCATGCTGAGGCTGCGTCCCACATACAGCAACTAGAAGGATGTGCAACTATGACATACAACTATCTACTGGGGCTTTGGGGGGGGGAATAAACAAAGAAGATGATAAAGATATTGGTTTGGTTTTGGTGGTTCTTTGTATTCTAGTAATTCAAAAGTGAATAAGCAAAACTGAAAATAATTCCTACTTAAATGTTTTGGGAGAAGATCATTAGAAGTTGTTTATTAATTCAGTGTACCAACTGACACCTTTGGCTATTTTGAAAATTTTGCAATGGGTCAATAGATTTCCAATTTATATATCTTAAAGGGAATGTTAGAAAATACAAGACTATTTAAGTAACAAAATTATCTCACATTAATATGTTTGAAACACTATGCATATTTTTCTATGATTTATGAGCTGCTGCTCATTTTTATAAGAATTTTTAAGAACTTTCTTTTAGTAACACTCCCTTAAAATATCTCCAAAACTTGTATAACTTTTGCAAATAATATTTATGTAGTAATTAGCAAGGAAATAAATATTACTCACAAAAGCCAGAAAATAAATCTTAATTTAACATAGTTCACAGTTTTATTTTACTTTTAGTATATATACACAGATTGGTTTCAGCTTTGTTATGGGGCATTTACATCCAAGCATATAATTTGTTCTAACCAATCATTTTTTTACTCTATCTTAATAGCTTTCATGACCTCTACTCACTCAATGGACTCTAAGAGCAGATGCACTTGTCTTACTGATTTTGTTCTTGCTTTCAGGGAGACATAAAGGAGTAGGAAGAACCAGAAAAGATGGTTTACCCAAACGCTACCAGAGCAAATCTGATACGTGATGATCTGGTAGGGCTTCTAATTCAGACAATCCTTTCATCTTTGGCAAACAGCTCTATGGTTTACCCAGAATGCCAGAGGAGACTGGCATCTTTATGCCCCTATAGCATTCTCTGCATGGGATTCCATGCTTTACAACAGTGGTTCTTAAAGTGTGGCCTGGGGACCAGAATCAGCATCACCTGGAAACTTGTTACAAATGCAAATTCGTGGGCACCACCCCAGATTTGCTCAATGAAAACCCCAGAGGGTAGGGCCCAGTAACCTGTATTCTAACAGGGCCTCCAGGCAACTCTGAGAGCCACTGGCCAATACATAAGCTGCACACGCTATGAGGGGAGCTATGAGGCACAGCTACGAGGGGAGGGACTAGAGCTCCATGCAGAAGAATACGATGGATTTATTACACATGGCTGTAGTCAGCCTTCTTAACTGAGCCACGCTTTCCTCTGGGTAACATGGCAGGGAGGACATATGTATGCAGCCTTAGATGAGAGAAAAAAGAATAATTCCCCTTCCTCTCCTTGAGATCTATACAGTTTAGAATTTTTTTTATTACCAGACAGAAATTCCAACACAAACTGTTCAAGTAAAAAAGACTATTTATTCAATAACTGACGATCTAGGGATTAATAATAGTAACAGGTAACATTTACTGAACACTAAGTATGCGTCAGGCACTGGTCTAATTGCTTTGCATGGTTTAATTGATTAATACTCACATAAACTCTGAAGATGGTAGTATAACATCTCCATTTTAGAGAGGCAGAAACTGAGGTACAGTGAAGTTAAGTAGCCAGATTGGGATTCAAACCTAGACAGTGGAACTGGCTTCGAGCTGGCTTGATCAGAGGTCAAGTCTTGTCATTGGAAATTTTTCTGCTCCCAAAGTTGAGCAGAAGTCCTGAGTCTGACTCATATCGACTCAGGGTCGTAGGCTCATCTCTGATCCAATCCTCAGAGCTGAAGGTGAAGTGAGGAAATCAACCCTCATCACAGGGTATGGTTTTATGAGAATATAGGTGAATGGGTAATGGGTATTGGATCATATTATTATTTTTAATTGTTTATTATTTTTTTAATTGTTAAATAATTATTTTATTTCTTTCTTTTATTGATGTCATAATAGTTTAAACATTGTGAGATTCCAGTTGTACTTTATTATTTGTCAGTCACCACATAAATGCACCCCTTCACCCCTTGTGCCCACCCCCCACCCCCCTAGCCCCTGGCAATCACCAAACTGTTCTCTCTGTCCGTGTGTTAGTTTATATTCCACATATGAGTGAAGTCATGTGGTGTTTGTCTTTCTGTCTGGCTTATTTCACTTAACATAATACCCTCCAGGTCCATCCATGTTGTTGCAAATGGGACAATTTTGTCTTTTTTTATGGCTGAGAAGTATTTCATTGCATATATATACCACATCTTTTGAATCATGTTATTGAACCATGGGAAGGGGAGAGTTGCGTGATGATCTGAGGGACAACTGTCACCAGCGACAAGTTATTGCCAAGACTCCCCCTCTTCACCTTTCCACTTGGATTTTTTTTCATAGGCACTATCCTCAACACCAAACAATTTCATTCTCTAGTTCTGAGTTCACTGATCCTAGAGAAGAGCTCATATTATCTAAGCTTAGGTGATGGGTCCAGCACTGAGTGACTCAGTTGTGTCCAGAAAGCCAAAATAAAATAAGAATAAGGACTGTCTGTCTGTCTTACAGTAGATGCCATTGGATGCTTGCTAAGCAGCCATTCCCTCCTTTCTTCTTTCAAGTCAAACTCTAATTTTGTTCACATATCTACTTTCCTTTGCACAACCCTATCCTTAGAGAGTGGTGGCTCCAAGCTCCAGTGGTGAATTGGTAGAAGCTAACCCCTTGTAGATATTGTGTTAAGAATGGATATATAATCTAATTCTGGCCCAAGAGATGTAAGGGGACTCTGCTAATGGGTTTCCGAGATGTTGTTTTCTTCACTGATAAAAAGAAATTTATCAGATCTTTAAAAAAAAATCTTCTCTAGTTAGTGTAAAAGACAGCAGCTGAAAACAGAATAAAAGTACTAGCTGAAGTGACCTGTTCTCACCAGAGCTGGGTTTTGCTTTTGATTTGATGATTATTTAAAGAAATTGTTAATGTCTCTGTTTCACAAATGGGTAGTCATTTCCTTGTCTTTACCTGGAAGCGCCCGTAAATCACGTGTTTCATTTTAAACTTGTAAAGGAAAAATGAAATGATAGCTCTGTATGGTTGGCATTATTCATCTCTCCCTTCTCCCCGCACCCCCAACTTTCCTGTTAGTAGAGTCTGGTACTGTTTACGCGTTTTCCCAAAGGCAAATTCTGGATAGTTTCATTTTTAGTTTTTACAGAACTTTATGACCGATGAGTAGTTATCTTCCAAGAATTAATAATTAGGACACTCTGATTCAAGTAATCAGTATGTGCCCTTATTTCACTTCCGTATGTAATAGCTCTTCTGTGTTTCTTTCTTCATGATCAAGTCAAGGAAGCTGAGAATGAGTGTGGTAATATCAAAGAATAATTTTTCAAGGATGTTAAAAATCATGGGTATTATACAAATAAAGAATAAGTATATATCAAAGATTTATCTAACTCATCAATTAGGGAAGCAGGATGGAAAGCTGATTCAAAGGACATTTGAGGAACTGAGCATTGACATGCAATGAACAAAAATGTTGGATTTCTAGATTAGATACAAACCTGGATAACATCCTAAAAGACAATAAAACCGTATGTTTTGGTTATAATTTCAACCAGACAGAAATTATTTGCATCTCTACCAGACAAAATCTACAAGGTAACATGTAACTTTAATGAGTTTGGACTCTGATCAGTAATAAAGAGCATGTCCAAAAAAGGTTCATGGCTCTAGAGATTTCAATAATTCTTGAGTGAGCCTGTTAAACAATGCTCCAGTGTGACAGTGAAAGCACATGTAATCATCCTTCTACCTTACTCACAAGTTTTTCCTATTTTTTCTTAACTACAATGATACTACAATGTAGTTATGAAGATTAAATATTATATGTGAAAATGCTTCGTAACATACAGCCTCATAAAAATGTAAAATGATGTTTTTGTAGGTTATTACTATAATTACACAATATTCCAAAGGCAAGCTTGACATAAAGAAGGCAAGTTAGAGTTAGACTGTCAGTCTAACTCATTTTTTTCCTGAGATCCTAAAATAGACATTGGTGCCCCAGATGGCAGGATGAGAATAAATTTCTCTTAACTGGGACACGATATACGCAAAAACTTAGAGGAACCGCAAATCTTCTAACTACTCCAGGGAGAAGTGTTGCAAAATAAAATTTGTTTGTTTTCTTGTTCCAACCTGAAGATAACACCAAGAAAAAACTGTGAATGTCCTACTTCATTAATTCAACTAGTAATGCATTGAGCACCAAAGAGGTATCTTGTGTGTCCTATTGTGGGGAGACAAAGGGAAATAAGATGCTCATTCTCTCCATAAGGATACATATTTAGCAGCAGAGACAACACAAAAATAATCAATTGGAACAAAAAGAGGGGGAATAATTATTTTGTTTTGAATAAGGGCAACATGAAGCTTTGATTAATTAACTATTGTTTATTTAATCATTTGTAAGTTGGTAGCAGTATTTCTTGTTTTTTACTGGATACTATTCACTCTGAATTGTATCTGAAACTGCATATTGCTCTGTCTTTATATTTTGTATTTTCTTTCTTCTTTTTTCTTTTTCTCTTTCTCTTTCTCTTCTATTTTCTTTCTTCTCTTTTCTCATATCTTCAAATATAAAGTAATTGAAGAAAAATAGTAATTTAAAAAGATTCTCTGTAAAATTTTTGATTTTTTAAATAAAATGTGATTTAATAAGTCTAACAAAAATGTTAGCTTGTTGAGGGGCCAGGCCAGTGATGCAAGTGGTTAAGTGCGCGCGCTCCTCTGCGGTGGCCCGGGGTTCGCTGGTTCGGATCCTGGGTGCGCACTGACGCACCGCTTGTCAGGCCATGCTGTCGTGCCGTCCCATATAAAGTGGAGGAAGATGGGCATGGATGTTAGCCCAGGGCCAGTCTTCCTCAGCAAAAAAGAAAAAGGAGGATTGGCAGATGTTAGCTCAGGGCCAATCTTCCTCACAAAAAAAAAAAAAAGAAAAATGTTAGCTTGTTTAATAATCAGGATTAAAAAGAAGAAAACTGACCTGTGTTTGAAGAACCAAATTGAAATAACTTTGTATTTCTAGATTTTTCCAGTGATTCTACAAAATTTCATGAGTATATAGTAAAAATTCTGAAAAAATAGTATCATTTTTACTATAAACCAGTAAGTCATTGTTAATATAGTTAAGCTAAACTAGAGACATAACCCACAAA